ATGGAGGGGGGGGGAGGAGGTGTAGGAGAAAATGGAGGAGTGATACAGTGGAGAAAGAGGGACGGGGTGGGGGGAAGAGCAGGGGGAGTTGAGGGTGGAGGAGGAGCAGGAGGAGGTAGTCAACGGCTGTAAAGAGGCCACGGCCCAGAACCGACCATCTACTGTGTCCCACCTCGCTGCTTCCTCCTAGAGGTCCAGGTGACCCTCCCCTCGGCGGGTAACACGGCGCACAGGAACATTGTTTTTTTTCTTTTTTCTTTTTTAATATACAACTGGGTAATGTACTGGTGGTTTAAACAAAAAGAGAGTCTGTGAGAGAGGGAGAAGGAAGAGATAGCATCACTTACGAAAAGCATATTCGATTTCCAAATTCCTCCTTGATGATCCACTCTTCACCGGCCCTAAGGCGATCAAGGGGGCCAGGCTCCACCTCCTCCTGTTCTTCCTCAGGCTCCATTTCTTCATCATTATTTCTCCCACTGCTCATTTTGACCGACTTCCTCACCGGATGCTGCTAGACCAGTGGATGCCTTTTTCCGTTTTGCCCTCCTTTCTGTGGCTGCTTCACCGCTCTGATACACTGTTCTCAGCGCCCCTCGTTTAGCTTTTCTGATGTGCTTTTGCGTGTTTTTTTTTCTTTTTTTTGCTGTATCGGTTTGTCGGGCCGCCTTCGACTACTAGTTGAGTAGCCGCCTGCCAGATAGTACCAAGATTGTCAGAGCAAAATGGCCGAACCTGGTCCCATAAAGAGTCTGGCCGACGGGCCCCGGGTCGCGGGTTCAATTCCTTGCAGGGTCGATTCAAAGTTCAAACAGATGGTACCAAAACCAAGAAACAAGTTTCAAGATACCTTCACAGACGCATCATAACCAGGTGGCCACGGATCCCACTAGCCAAATCACCAGATATCCAACTAGTCCAAGTGTATAGCCGGATTGTCAGATATCTAAATAGCCTGATGGTCAAATAGCCTGATATCCAAATAGTACCTGGATAGCCAAATAGCTGGATAGCCGGATAGACAGATAGCCAGATAGGCAGATAGCCCAATGGTCAGATTGTCACCTATCCATATAGCCCAATAGCCAAATAGCGAAATAGCCGAATAGTCAAATATCCATAGAGGGCTTATGGCCAAATAGCTGGATAGCCGAATAGACGGGCAGCCAAATTGTCAGATAGTCAACGAGCCAGATAGTCAAATCTACAGCCCGATAGACAGATTTCCAACAATAGCTCGATAGCAAAATAGCCAGATAGCCTGAATAGCCGAATAGCCGAATAGTCAGCAGATGATTAGTCGGTTTCGTCCACAGCAGTTGTAGCAAAAGAAGAAGAAGAAGAAGAACAAGAAGAAGAAGAAGAAGAAGAAGAGGCAGAGGATGAAGCAGAAGCAGCAGCAGGAGGGTCAGCACCACCCCACAAGGAGCTGAGCCATATTACCGCAGTAAGTACGAGATCAGATACTTTGTAGTCTGCCCCTCCACAAGATGTACAATTTTTCTCAGTGCCCTCGTCCTCAGGTTGCCATGGGTTTGCAGCACAGGAGTACCAGGTAGCTGAGTCCATTTTCCTTGTCCTCTGTTTCTCCTTCTCCAGCTTTTAATTGATCGAAACTGTGAACTTTCACAGTCACTGTGGGGGTCCTCCAGTGTCGTTGCCGTTCCTCTCTTTTGTCTCGCTACTGGGGACTTGAACAGCTTGAAGCAAGATTCCTGTGGTGACGTCAAAGGTCAAAATGCCATTTTTATTTTTATTTTTTATTTTTTTTTGAAGTTCATACTAATGATAATATACAAGTAACAAAACAGAAAAAGAAAAAAGAAAATTTTAAGATGTCTTTGGGAGTTACTAATGATGGACTGAGTGGGGATACAACTTGAGAGAGAGAGAGAGAGAGAGAGAGAGAGAGAGAGAGAGAGAGAGAGAGAGAGAGAGAGAGAAGAGAGCCTTTTCCGCATAGTTTGACCCTCACGAGTTCCCATCCCTTATGCCGATAGATTCCACGCATCCATTCTATTGCCCGTGGAATTGCACTATGAGGAAACTTATAAAAGATTTTTTTTACGTCTTTTATGATGGTCTCTCCAGTGTCTGCAGCGGTCGTTGGGTGCGTGTCCAAGTTGAAATTTTTTGCCCTTGCCAGTGGAAGACCCCACAGCATGAAGTAGTTGGGTGCAGACATACCAAAGTGACCTGGAGAGTCTCCCGCACCAAAAGGGAGGCCACCTTTCTTTTCTTTTTTTTTTTCCTTTTTTTTCTTTTTTTTCTTTTTTTTTAATTGAAACATCGCGGTTGGGCGTGGGGGAGGTGCTGATAAGAGCAGACACCCCCTCGACGCACCGTATTTGTGTATGGCTTCGTTCCATTGGTGGGCAGCTGGCCACCTTTCTTTCTTTGTCAACAATCAAACTATTCATAAAAATGACTAAACATCTGTTGATTCAGAACTCGCTCCCCCTTCCAGCCTTGATAACCTAGGCTGAAGAGGTCTCTTGCTCTGTGCTTCGTTCATGTGGTGTCACGGGTTGTTACGCTAGAGGAAGGGGAGGCTGTCGGGGTGATTAGGATAGTCTTCATGAGATCTTGGGCATGGTAGTGGCCCTGCTCCTATGCTCCTGCACGAATCTAGTGGAGGTTGGTTGGGCAGTGCGCGCAGAAAGTGAGGAGCATCTTCTCATGCGGAGTGGGAGGAGGGAGGCTTGTTACAAGCTGGAGCGTCAAAAAGACCTGGCGGTTTCAAGCGTTCATTTGAGCTGGTTCAACGGTGAAAGACACGGAAGCAGGTAGCGGCGCAATAATGACAGCGGCGATGGAGCAGGAGAATTTTGTCCGAACATGTGTGGTGCTCTTCGCGTCGACTGCCTTTTTTAAATCGATTTCGCTGATCTCAATTTTGTATATTCTAATTTCCTATATTCTTGCTCTAATCTAGTGCTTACACAGTTATAAATTCAGCTGCTCAAATTTAGAAAAATAAACTCACAATCTTATCCTCCGTTTTCTGATCAGCCAAATTCTCATCTACATGTACACACATATACATATCCTTGAATTTCAACTATAATTTCTAATAAGTCTGAAGCAAAATATTCTCATCTAAATGTACACACATACACACAAACATATATTGTCCATTCTGAATCGCTAGCACAGTTCGTAGGGATCTGTCCTATAATGACGTATCCTTGAATTTCGACTATAATTTCTAAAAGTCCCAAGTAAAGTTTCTATCATGATTTTTAAATCTTGGAACCCGAAAACTTCAGAATCTCTCCAATAATTAGTTTTTGCTTCTTTTAAATTGGTGATACGTGCACATGGTGGGAGCTGCCAGAGGTTGATTGGCGCAAGGGGCAGTGCCATGCGCTTTTTTCAGTGGGTTGTTCTTAAAGATGTAGGGTGTTTTCGGGGGTTATTGCATATTTTTGAAGAGGCCCTGCTTTTTCCAAATTGCGAACGACATTTTGGTAAGTGTGTCATCAATAACTGTGTCAGCTGGATCGGATCGTTCCCGTAGGGCTGAACGGTAGGAAGGGGGTGGGGGGAACTCTATCTTGCAGGGGCATCACAAGGTGGGGGGTGAATGTCTCTTTTTTTTTTTTTCTTTTTTTTTTTTGGGACCAATGCTCCAGTCTATTCATGGGGAGCAACACGTGCTGGGAACCGGGCCCAGCGTCCCGTATAGAATTATACAAATGATTTGAAATACCAGGGCCATTACCTGGCTTCGGCTAAGCACAATCTGAGAACTATGAAAAAGATTCTAGAAATTTTAGGAAAAACATGGATAACAGCTAACCTATTGCTAGGCTACTCAAGCAGCACTTACTAACTCAAAAACGGAAACTTTAAGCCTGAATGCTCAGAACCCCTGGAATCCCCAACAAAACATTCTAAAATTCTCTAACACTGTCTCATTCCCTGCCGAGCTTCCCCAGGCCTCATGCCCCCATCCTGCTAGGTTACAGGGCAACACAACTCACCCCAGCTCCGGCCAGCGTCGTACTGACAGCAACCCTTGGTTTTCCCTTGCAATGCCCGGCCCAAGGCATCCCCAGATCTCTGTACCAGGCCTCACGCTCCTGCTATCAACAGTTTACAGGGCAACCCCCCAGCTCCGGCCAGCGTCGTTCTGGCATCGAAAAACTGCAGATCCATGAATATAACAGCATTAAAAAAACTAAAATGAGTTGCAAGAGGTGCCCAGAATCCTAAGGCGTTCTCAAGAGTTTCCTCATGAGATAGGCTAGAATTCTGAAAAAATCTGAAAAGGCTTGGAAAAATATGGGAGCGGGGGGTCAAAACTGAAACTGCCTCTATCCAAAACTCCCCGCCTCAACAGACGGAACGTCGGTCCGGGCTTTCAGTCCTTGTACCAGAACTCACTTGATCGCATACCCCCTTTTGCTAGGGTACATACCCCTGCTAGGGTAACAGGGCACCACAACCTTCCCCAGTACTGACCAACCTAGTTCTGATGGACAGGAAGTGTCTTCCTCCCTCGACATTTCCCTTAGCGGCAAGCCCCTAACACAGGTTACAGGGTTAATACCCCGACGTCGGCTACGTCGAACGGTCTGGTTATGCCTTCCACCCTCGGCATAACTCCACAGGCCTCAAGCTCCCCCTAGGTCACAGAGCAAAAGCTCCAGCACCGGCCTGTGTCGGCCCAGCATTGTCCTTCTAACCGAGTTAGCTTAACAAACAACCTTCCTCTGTTGAGAGCCCCCTTAATACCTTCCATCCTCCAGTTCTAGCTCCCCAGCCTCCCCCCCCTTCCCTCCTTTTTTGAGATACCAGGGCCATTACCTGGCTTCGGCTAAGAACAAACAACTCAGAACCCCCACAAAAATCCTCTTTACCTCACTCTGGCAAGACTTACTGCAGCAGAGTCACCATCTCCGTTGTTGTTGTGCCCTATTTCCATCCTACGAGCTAGCCCCCTCGCTAGTAGGACGCCTGATACCCCACCATCTACTTCTCCCACTCACCTCTCTCAAGAACATATTGAAAAATCAGGAAATCAAAAGATTGAGAAAACCCTATACACGTTTCAACGCCTATTATTTCCACAAGAAGAGGGGAAGGGAGGGAAAAAACCACCCTCTCTCCCCATGGAAACTCCAGCGCCTATTCTAATCTCGATTGCATGTACAAGGCTCACAAGAAGCAAAACGGATTACTCATCTCCCTCAAAAACGACCCTCTGTCTTATACTGCCTCCGCGGGGAAGCGCCCCCTCACCTCCCAGCCCCAGTTCAAAACAACCCCCTCTGCTCCTACCAGCACCCCTAGCAGCCGATTGGGTTGTTTTGTTAAAAAAAAAAAAAAAAAAAGTCACTCCTGCTCCCTCAGCTACATACAGTACCCCCTAAAGTATGTCCCCCAGAGTCGAAGATCCCCCTTCCCTCCTGCCCACCCCCTCCAAGTGAAACAGTCCTACAACGTCTCACCATGTTGACATCGGCACCCCTTGTCCTCTCTCCCCAAGTGCCATAGCTGACCCGACCCAAAAATCAGCGTGGCCCAGAAAAGGACAAACCCTCAACACCGCCCCTCCCTCTC